ACACACACACACACACACACACACACACACACACACACACACACACACACACACACACACAAACACCCAAACACTAACACACCCACCCAGGACGCACCATCTCTGCATCCCGACTGTTGGACGCTGAGGCTTGAGTTGTGCAGCGTCAAGGCTTTCGAACGACCGCACCTTAATGACTGACGGTGAATTTGTTATTCATCTGTTGCTTTCGTTTTTTGTGGTCTTGGAACTATGAGAGAGAGAGAGTGCGTAATTGTCCGCACGCATGTGTGTGTGTGTGTGCGAGAGAGAGAGAGAGTGTTACATTCTGCGACTTCACACGGGCCTTCACAGGCCCGACATACCGGTTCAGGGGGGTACCCAGGCCGGCCTCGCCAAAAGCCAGGCCTTTTTCCCCGGTAGGCCCTGCTAGGCCACCGGTTGGCGCCTCAGCGCCTAGCAGACCCAGTCTGGCCCAAACGACAAGACCGTTTGGGCCTGGCGGCGCTCTTGAGGCTGCCGCCTGCCGGTCTGCGCTGAACGGTCATTTCGACGGTTCAGCCCACGGCGCAGGAGGCCAGCATTGAGGCCGACCGGCCGCCGGACGGTACTTAGGCCGGTCCAGCGGCCATTCCTGCAGGTAGGGAGTAGCGGCATTGAGGAGCGACCGCGCTGCGCTATTCTGAGTTCAGCACAGTGCTGGAACTGCAGCGCTAAGTTTAGCGCACTGCAGTACGGGAGAGCGAGGAGGGAGGACTTACCTGACCAGCACCTACGAGCGCCATAGCTCCAGCGGCTCGGCCGTCTTCTGCAGCAGCCAAGGCGCCACCTTGTCCCATCAGGTAGGGCCTGGTGCTACTCGCCATCCCCGTCCATGCTCTGCCATCTCTTCTCCTTCCCTCTTCTCCTCTTCCTTTTTCTTCTTCTTCTTCTTCTTCTTCTTCTTCTTCTTCTTCTTCTTCTTCTTCTTCTTCGTCAGACTGGAGACTTTGATACGAGTTGGACAGAGATCATTGTTTGGACTTCGGTGGTAAGAGGCTGTGATACTTACCGGATTCGAGACCTTGGAGATGTTGGGATTGATACTCGGCGGCATCACAGATTGGACACCGGTTACATAAGGACTCTGTAGAGTCTGTACCTCCGACATTGGTGACTTATTGTCCACGACATTCTGATCTTGTTCGATGACATTTTGGACTGCCATATCGGTGACCTACTGGATTCTATCTCGGTGACATCTGGCGCTGCCTATACCTCCCACCTCCATCGTCTCTCCTCCCACCTTTAATCTGTGTATGGGTGTACAGGGCCTGAGCATCGTCTATGATTGGCTTCAGACCCCACCATCTCACGATTGCTTGTGTGTTGAGTGATATCTGGATGGGTTCAGTCTATGTGAGTCAGTCCATTTCTCAGACTTCCGCTGCATACATGCTCATCCTATATTGGTTGATCTTTGGTTCTGCCCATGCTTGGTGAAGTATTCACTAGTATGCAACAGTTTTGGTATCGGAGCAGACCAATTAAATGGATCTGCTCACAAGGTAATTCTGATTAGGGGATAGATTGCTCAATTAGCATTATTCGTTTTTCCAAATCAGTTCTGCATTACTATCGATATTCTGTTTTAATTCGGTATTCTGTTTTAATTCGGTATTCTGATTTATTTCGGTATTGAATTAGGGTTGCGATAAAAATTCCGGTTTTCTTCCACGTTTGGGGAAATTTGCAGTTTTTGGAACCGTAAAACCAGAAATTCCGTGAAATCGCGGAAAATTAGGGTTGGAATCTGTGTTAAAATCCGGGCCGCCCGGCGGCCCAGCCTTCGTCCGGCAGGGGTCCCGGGTGGCCCGGCCAGTTGGGTCCCCCGGTTTGGCGTCGGGCGGGCCCAGCACAATTTCGCACGGGGGGGGG